TCAGGAAACTTTGATTAAACCACACAAAATTTACGTCAAACGTTTCGATTTATTTTGAAAATAGCCAAATAGTAATATTAAAAATACCAAACTTTTTTTTTAAATTTAGTTATATTTGCAGAGATACAATTAGATTATTAAATATAATAGATGCATATTTAATATAAACGGTATTTTAAATTAATTAAAAGTATTATTAAAATGTACAATATTCATTAATTTATAAACAAGGTGTATACCGTAATGTATTTTAAAAAAATGTAAGGGATTCTTTAGTTTTTTAACAGAGAACTTTCTTTAATTTAGGACAATAATAGTTTCACTAAGAAATTTTGGTAAATTTAAATTACAGTTTTAAAGCAACATCCTGAAAAATCCAGTTTTGTTCCTAGCCTGCGAAAAAATAGAAAACAGTGTTCCAAGCTGCAAGTACGCCTAAGTGAGTTACACGCCTGACTGAGTATTCACTGTTGTGGACCAAACTCCGCTGCACACCACAACTGTAGTTGAATGGTTATACACTACAGTGGCTACTGTTTAAATGGAGCCATGATCAGTGGCTACTGATTGAATTGATGTATATTTTTATCATCATAAGTTATCATTTCCCATCGATTTGACGATAAGTTTGAGTTATTACATAATGCAACATCTTTATCGATAGGTATACATTATATTAAAATTATTCTACGTAGGTTTGTACATTGACTATTAGAATTGCACAACTGACAGTCTATATTTAATTATTTTTGTGTATAGTTTTAATCACTGTAATGTATATAATGTGTGTTGAATATTGAAATTATAAGCACAATGATGCCAACTTATGAAAATATTTTGAAATTATATGTATAAAACAGAAGTAAATTTTTTTATACAGTGTGTAAATTAAGTATTGAAACAAATCTGTATTTTTAAAACCGAAATAGATCGAAATATTCTGTTTGTGGCGTTGATTGTTAACAAATGTTCCGCAATTTTTCACATCAAAAATATTTTTTTACCCCCCTAAGGGGGTAGAGGGTGACTCATTTTTGTCAAATAGCAACCCCTATTGAGTGAACCCTCATTTTGTAGGGTTTGTCAAAAGAAACACAATGACGCAAATCCAAGGTGAATATTTCACCCCTAGCCAAAATGGCAGGCATTCAAATATGTTATTTACTGTATATGAAAAAGCACCAATTTCACAAATAATAGAAAGAAATCTGTATTTTTACAACCGAAATAGATAGAAATATTCTGTTAGTGGAATTGATTGTTAACATAGGTTCCGCAATTTTTTACATCAACAAATTTGTTTCAACCACATTAACAGAGTAGGGGGTGGGGGGCCCTTTTTTCAATAACAACCCCTATTGAGTGACCCCTAATTTTGAAGGTTTTGTTAAAAGAAAAACAATGACGCGATTCCGAGGTTGATATTTGACCCCTAGCCTAAATGGCGCGTATTACAAAATTTTATTTTTGTAAAAAAACACCCATTTCGGAATATCCACCATTTTGGCTAGAGGTGAGATATTCACCTCGGATTTGCGTCATTGTGTTTCTTTTGACAAACCCTTCAAAATGAGGGGTCACTTAATAGAGTATGCTATTTGAAAAAAATAAGTCACCCCCTACCTCCTGACCTGTTAGGGGGGTAAACGAATATTTTTATGTAAAAAATTGCGGAACTTCTGTTAACAATTATTGCCACAATCAGAATATTTCTATCTATTTCGGTTTTAAAAATATAGATTTGTTTCAATACTTAATTTACATACTGTATAATATTATGTAACGATGTTTTGTACTTGTTAGCCGTGGTTTTGCCTTGACCAAGTGAGCTATGCAGTAGTCACTTGCGTTCTTTTAAGTGATTGAGATTAATTTGGTTATTACAATAATTTTTTGATAATATATGTAAGATAGTACTAAAACAATTTGTACCATTTCAACGAAATAAGTAACCCGGTGATCAATATTTATACACTAGGGACCACGAGAGTCTGCAGTTATCAGCACTGGACTAGCGCGACGTGGCAACATCACCCGTTTACTAATTTTTGACACTAATTAAAAAACAGAAAACAATATTTTCAAATCAGCTGGTGTTATTAAAATTTGGCAACAACGCACGGTCCTCATTGGTTCATTTAAAGTCACGTGGTAAAAAGGCTCCTCCCTCAACTGCAGACTCTCGTGGACCATACTGTAATGGTGATCATGATTAAATAAATATGTTTATTATGATAAGCCTTTTGAGTAAATTTCCAAAGGCATTACTCTTAGTTCTGTATTATCATAACTTCCAATTAAGACGTACCTACGCTAGCTAATGTAAACGTATCATACAATAAGGTGTTGTCGTTATGTTGCAGTTTGCAGATTACACAGATACAGTAACTGTAACACGCAAAGGAAAATTTAGCAGAAACCGTTTTTACACTAGTAAAACCTGATTTGGCATGAACAAATGTTTCAAGTGTTAAGTGTGTGGTTGAAAGGTGTAAAAAATTGCAACGATCGGTCCCCAAGTACTATTTAATACGTAAATACATAATTTGTCATTGAATGTGATTGTGTAAATACGTTGTATAAATAAGCATCATGTAACTTTATTTCATGAATAATGTAAATAACTATTTGCAAAAGATTAAGCTGCTGCGGTAGAATACACTTAAGATTTACCTGTTTTCATCACGCCACCCTCATTTGCATATGAAACAGAATTATTTTACTAAAACGTTTAGAATTTACATGATGAATCTATGTTTAGTTATATTATAGTTTTAAGCCATATTTCGTAATCATTAATTAGTACGTTTACACTTTAAGGAAGAATTCTGATGAACTGCAGAATCTCTGAATAGCGAATTGTTGCAACCAAATGAATTTCAATGACGTGCCATTATGCTGTTAGTTTTAATGAAGCGTTTATTCGTTCTTATTCGGTTCTTATTTTAAAGTTATTATGTATTTAGACCCAAAAATAATCTAATAATTCAGTCTTTAGTGGTCATTCACAATGTCATGTGCACATGTTTATTTTATTTAGTTATATAGTTATTTATAGTAAGAAATCTTTTTCAATTAAGATGTACTAGATTTATTTTTTCTTGTATTGACTTGGCTAATGCAAGTTGTTGTTAGTCTGGCCCAATAAAATTCTTATTAACTTATTATTATTATTATTGACTTATTTAGCTCTATTACGGAATTCTGAGACAGTCTATAGTGAAATTTGTATGCACGATTCAAAAAGCTTTGAAGTTTTAAAATATTAAATATATAATATATAACCTATAGAGCTAAATAAAACCATATCTCAATAGTGTATGATTAGTAAAATAAAATATTTAAATTTTCCAAACCTAAAAAAATTGCTGATTTGAATACCTCGAGATATTTAAATCTTACTAATTTTATCTCACAAAGCTTACGTTTAGTCACAATAGGATAAAAATGTATGAAAATAAAAATACAATTTAGAACCAACTCTAGGTGAATTTTAAGAAAAGATAAGTAAATTATTGGTTCATTTCTAATTACTAAATACCTCATAATGGTTTTACTGTTAAAAAAGCATATGCATCTTAGAACCAACGGACCCCAGCTAGACACTACCCCTTAAAGGTGTAAACATTAAGGTTTCAATTTTATGCATGTGAAATAGGCATGTGAAGTTTGAAAAAAGTTACTCGTCCCCTTTGACCTTAAAGTGGCTAATCGATCGTGGCTCATTTGTACTAATCAGCTCATAAATAAAGGTTTAAAATAATCAAGGGTAAAAGGTTTATATTAATGTTAACAATAAAGTATGTTATTCTGTTTGTGTGCAGTATATATAATTTAGTTTGAAGTAATACACAATTATATGTACGAATATTTTAATGGCATAATAATTTGTTTTAAGTGCCAACTGTACCAATTATTTATTAATTTTAAGCAAACTTGCAAGTTACATTCTTATTTAGTTTTATAATTAGCTTGGCATACAAAACAATTATGCAAACGTACTTTATGTTTAAGAATTAAATATATTTTATAGAATATTCTAAACCAAAACATAAAAAAAGTTAATTATTTCCATCAAGTAGATTATATTCATTGAACACAAAAGCTTAAACAGTTCTATAATCTCATTATGTGAAACTGAGCTTCCAAACTAATCAGAATGTTTCTGTTGATTTCACAAATAAACACAAGCATTATGCTGTAATCCCATCCAATGATGGCATAACATTCATTGTTTTAATAGGCTACTAAGCTGGTAGAATTTAAACTGACAATGATGTAAATTAAAAAAAAAATACCTTTTCAACGTAGCTTAGTGAAGTATAACGTATTTTTTTTTTAGCTAGGATGATAGGCACCTGGGATTGTTTTTCACATTACTTCAGGCTATATAGATCTAGGGGTTGCGGCATTATCACTTAGATAAAACACATTGGTGACTTGGCTTGACTTGGGGAACAAGCTGGTCTAGTGGTTACAGCGCGGGACTCCGGTTCCTGGGGTCCCGGGTTCAAACCCCGCCAAATCATTAATGGTATTTATCCAAGTGATATTGCCGTAACCCCTAGGTCTAGCCTAAAGTAACGTGAAAAACAATTCCGGGCTCGTGCCTAGCGTCTTAGGACAAAAAAATTGTAACTTGGCGGGATTTGAACCCGGGACCCCGAAACCCGCGCTCTAACCACTACACTAGCTCGCTCCCCCTTCATAATTACAATACATGTAGAATAAACGACGTCGGTGTATTTTGTACATACTAACGTTCACGTGTTTGACCTGACCCAAATGTCGGTTGTAGGGACTAGATCCTCTCTACGAAAACACGTTCACAATGGTCAAACATGGCGGTTGATTGGCAAACAACCCGATGTTTGTTGGTTGTCTCCCTGGCTGATGTTGTTTGGTTGTTTTAGCCTTGTCCGCCACAAATTGTAAACACTACGGAAGCTCTTTGATTATATATTTTCGAATGAACTTGAATGGAATGTTTTTTGTTTCAGAACTATGACGTGGTGATTTCGAGCTCAGTCGACTGGAGATCTAGGTAAGTTATAATTGATTACAAAGTGGTTGCTATTATTTACACAGTGCTACGATGTATCGGTTTATGTTATATTATAACTGTATTTAGTACAAGCATTTATGTTTTTGAAAAGTGTTGATTATTTCAAATCTTAAGTACGTTTATATGTTTCCTTCTAAAACAGACAAAATATTTGTTTAAGTAGCTATAGTAAAGTTAAGATAGATTTTTTTCCAGTCATCAGTTCAAAATTTTAACATTGAAAGTTCTGTATGTTTCAGTGGGCTGCATCAAACACTTAAGTCCAGAAGTAAACTTTAGATATACGTAAATAACTTCGTTGATTGTTTGCACACGCAACACATACATTTAACACACATTTAATTCACTAAAAGAAGGAAAACGCTAGGGTATGAGTGTGTTTTTGTCTAAATAGTTATTTAATCGGTAAATGTAATATTCACTTCCTATTTGTATGCGGTTGCAAATTAGCTCTACCCCTGCTTCTCTCGAGATATACTGATAACATAGACAGTTTGATGAACCCCTTTAAAGCTTCCTGTACGCAGGGGTTTTAAACAAAATTTCTCCTTTGACTGGTGTATTAAAAATCCTCGCAGTTATAAAATTAAGATGAATAAAGTTACATTTTAAAAATATTTAGCAAATCTATTTTTAACCATCATTTAAAAACTATGTGCTTTACTTTTGGTTTCCAAAATAGGAAACTAAAAACTCCCACTAGTTGAAATAGATTTTATATTTGGTTTTTTTATTTTCTAAACTAAATACTATGAGGCTGTAAAATTATGCAACCTAAAACTGCACTACGCAATCAATAGTTAGACTATAGTCGAGTTATTATACTCGTATAATTATTGAACAGTTTTATATAAAAAAATCTGTTCTTGCTAGTAAGCTAAAAAAAATGCCATCGAGAACATAAGGAATGTAACAAAAGACGTGGTGTTAGATGCGACCCTTTGTTGTATGTCTTGGTCGATGGCAGACAAAAGACTCGTCTGGACTTTCTTTTGTATGAACTTGGAACCCTCTTAGCAAAATACAAGGGGTAAATGGTTTCATGTAAATCTGAGCTGTTATTCCAATGCACAAATGAGCTGCACACTATTGTGTACAAGCTGATTGTGAGTTACTGATTGTAAGTACATAGCTTACAAATAAATGTAAGCAGAATTGTTAAAATTGATTGAATATCCAGTAAATATACGACAAGTATTTTGACTGTTATAAATTTAAATTATTTTTGTGAAATTGAAATACCATATGTTCTTTTGGTATACATATCTTAAAATATCAAAGATGGGATCCGATTAAGAATTTATTTTTTCAATCTATTTGGTTTAGAATTCTACACATTTAACGGCACCGTAAGCATTTAGGTTAAAATATTTGTAAAAAAATACGGAAAATAAAATGTAATATGGTGGATTACTATTATAAATTCGTCCAGATGCGGTTATACGATATCAAATATTTTAAATTATTAAATACCTTTGTATAGTTCTACAAACTGTTTATGTGTTACTAACAAAACGTTTTGGTATTCATTATGATTCAGCCACCCAATGTATATTTTCTGTGACATGTTTGCGGATTGCGAGATCAGTCACACAACAACGACGAATGCTTGGTTGTTTGTACCTTCCGGTAAACTTGGTACATGTACATTATGTTGGCTTTAATTAGTCTTAAATTAGTCCCTTGTGTGTTATCTGAGTAAATACTATTTTCATTTATAAAACCGCTCATAGAGATACGTATTGACTTTTAATTGTTCCAATGTATTGTGTATATAATTTTGTTTGGTGATAAATGTTTTACGTTTAATTATTCCATTATCAGTGTATGAAATCTGTATTTTATGAACTATCATATAGATATTTTTATTCTTAATGTTTCGTTCCTACATCCATGCACGCTAAGCCCGAGTTCGGAAACGTATTGTATACTTAAGGTAGACTTGAGGTTTATGGCAATATGACACTCCTTAAAGCTGTGGATCTTAACCCGGAATTTCATGAACTAAAGTCTCAACCTTTACCATATTTTTTATGTTCCACCATAACATCCATGGACGCTAGGATGTAGCCTAGAACTGTTTTAAAAACTACTTCAGGCTAAAACTAGAGGGTTGCGGTATATTACATAGATACAATCCACTTTTGGTTGGGGGATTTGATCCTTTGACTTTGGTCTTCAAAACCCCGAGCAATATCACTAGACCAGCTCGCCCCCCCCCCATCTTCTACTACTAGAACAGCTTTCTGTCAATTATTATTATGTTTAAAACTATATTTATTTTCGGACTGATATATATTGTCAAAACTAGTGACTAATTCAAACCTTGTTGTTGTAGCGTATGTTTTAAATATCCAAGGAAAGTATGCCTAAGCGTACCTGATGAAGTATTTCCTAATCACGTTATACCTACATTTAACATTGCAACAAACCACGCCGGTATAACAAACTTGGCCCAAGAACTACGATAATATAGATTTTTAATCTTGGTCATGTTTGTGATATTTCAAACACGACTTGTATTAATTACAATTATGAGATAGAAAAGCTCATACGAATATTAAATGTATGCTAACACTAGGTATACTAAATCCCCTTACGCTTTGTATATTGGAAGATATTTGATGAAAATCCTAAATATAATCGGCTAAGCATATCCTAGTCTTCTTATTTCATATTTTATACAGTCAATACGGAATTCATGTTGTTTTATACTTTTAGGTTATGTAAATGGTAGTATTTGTACGAAGGGTTGACCAAAATACTCTAAAAGCTGTATACAGTAATCAAGTTTAGGGGACTAACTTACCCTTACAACTGAATTGTATTCCTGAACTGACCTACAGGACACTACACAAACCACTCACTGATCTGTTCTTAAACAAGATTCTACTGCATTGCAACATGTATCGACTTTAAATCATATATAAAACAACATCAGGTGGAAAATAAAAATGTTTCATGATATCATATAAAAATAATAATACTGATAAAATTGTTAATAGTATACTTTTTATTAACAAGCTATGTAGAAATGTATCATCACTAATTTTATTTATTTATTTTGAACCAAAAATACTGAGTTATTTTAAACAGGTTAATACAATGGAGAGTTTGCAGTTTAAAAGATTTACACAATATTTTGTATCACCAAAAAATCATGAAGTTAATAAAACTATTTAATATCATCCATCACTAATCGTGTATAAGACATTTTAATAGTATAAACTAACATAATAAAAATATGATAAAAAAATTAGATAAAGAAAGTAACATTATTAAAAAAAGCATCTAAGGATCATAGTGGCAGCATTTCCAACTTAAACAAGTATTTTTAAGACGAGTTTATTACAAATTTAGTATCAGATCAATAAGAAATCACAGTCAGCGATCCTGATTTAACCTCTAGGCGATACAATGATCGCGATGAGTGAAATAATCTAAAATGACATAAGTTAATTATATCAAACGTTTTGCACTAATTCGCTTGTTTTCTCAGTTAGCATTTGAACTTTTAAATTAATTAAAAAGCGTTCAGTAAAAATTCCGTAATGTTAAACTATCTTTCTTTTAAGGAAAACTATTTAGCATCAAATGTAAAATATTTAAAACTACTTTTACTTACCTAGAACAATACATGAATATACCATATGAATTATTATAATTACTCAATGTGAACGTTACTAAATATGTCTTGTATCTTAGTAACAAAGCTATGACGTCACACAAGGCCCGGTGGGTATGTACGTGTATGTTGTATAAAACATCGCTTGCTTGTAACTCTACCCAAGCAATAATACTGCTGAAGGCAGAGCATCAACTTGGTTATGACATTCTCGTCATGTAATATTATGCTGTACATAGTAAGATATATGATAAATATAAGATTAAATGAATTTGACATTTTTAGAGGCATATATTGTTTGTACAGAATTATTTATTGTCTCATTAACATTTCATACATGTAACTGGTGTTTATTACTTAGCTTTAGCTTTTGCTTCTTGCAGACACATTAAATATTTCCATAAATGCGTGTGGTAACTAAACTAAATGTAAAGTGAAACCCCACAACAGTGACAACGACAAAGCTAAATTTGTTCTTGAACAGGAAACACTACAAAACCAAACTTGTAACTTGTAACCCGTCTGGTTGACAGCTTGAATAACTTTCTGTAATTTACTATAACGCAAAATAGCCTTCGTGAGGAAACTTCTTAGTAAGTCCCTGAAACGTTATTCTAATTATAAATAAATTTTATTAACAAATAATGATTTTTTAATTACAAATTTAGCTTATTCTTTAGACTTATTGGAACCTGTTTGAATAGTATAGCTACAAGAAGGCTAATATACAGGGTGTTCCGTGATTCTAGTATATTATACAGACAGTCGGAAAACCAGGCACCACAGACCCTTGTTCCTATGATGAAATATGTCTGTATTGACCTAGGCAATAAAGCTATATACATGTGTCCAGAGAGTTATGGGACATTCTGTATATTATAGTTTTTCCTAGAAAAGTTCGATGGTATATTTTCTAATATTTATATCAGTATAGTTTGCTTTGTTTATCTAAATCACCCTTAACCACTAGGAACGGGGGAATTTTTTTCTTTAGTAAAGACATCGTGTAGTTATAAACTTGGCTTGGAAAAACGATTATTCTAATTTAATTATTACTCAAATAGCCTATTATCCAAGATGGTGAGTGACATTACTATTACTATCATTAAATATGTATTTCTGAAATCATGATAATCGTCCGTCAACTAAATTACTTAGTTTCTCGAGCTGGTGATAAGTTTCCAACACCATCCATTGTTCAGACATCGTCATTGTTCACAACTGCTAATCCCAAGTAAGTTGGAAAACTTGTTAAAGTTTGGAAAATGTTAGCACTTTAGTAAATTTATCATTGAGTAATTGAAATTACCTCTTAAAAATCGAAGACTTACCATCGTCCTAAATAGT